AAAGTGTAAAATACTGTTTCAGTACTAGTTATAGCATTACTTCACATTGGACAGCACATTAAGGACAGATCCCACATGAGAAATAAGTACACAGTGACTCCTGTTGTTGACTTAACAATTTGACACTCTTGTTTATGGTGTCAGTAATCTCCCTAGGCTCTAGTCATGAGTTGCCAAGGCTACAAAACTACTATTTTATTTTTGCCCCAGCTCTTATATGAAAATCCCATTCTAGGTGAGAAATTGTGATACAGCAGGTTAAGCCACCATTTGGGACATCCTCATCCAATATTGGAGTGCCAGTTCAAATCTCAGCACCTCTGCTTCAGATTGGATTTCTTGCTTAAGCATATGGGAGGCAGTAAGTATTGGTTCAATTTTTGGGGACCCTGCTAACCACATGGGAAACCCAGATGGAGTTCCAGGTTCCTGACTTCAGCCTAGCCCAGCCTTGGCTGTTGGGGCACTTACAGATTTGAACTAGCAGTTGAATCTATCTGTGTCAGTCTTTCTTTCTTTCTTTCCTTTCTCCTTCCTCCCTCCCTTCCTCCCTCCCTCCCTCTTCCTTTCAAGTAGTTGAAAATAAATAAATGTTTTAAAAGCCTCAGACTAAATGTTCAGATTCTGAACTTGTTTTCCAGCTCTTCATCATAAGTAAGTGAGATAACAACTATGATAATAATTTATAATGATCACAAATAATAGTGAATAGTTTTCTAGTTTTTTTTCTAGCCTGAATAATATTCCATTCATCATATTTTAATATTCACAATAACACTAAGAATTTGGTTGTATTGTTGACATTTTACAGATGAGAAAACTAAACCTATTTCAAATCATTTTTGGGCTGCCTAAAGAAGACTTTAAATAATCCGTGACAGTTAAAATGGGAAAATATGAAATGAGAAATAACTAATTTCCAGTCTTTCTGGAAAATGGGTCCTCTTCATCAGGGCCTCAGCTTACAGAAGGCAAATTATTTCCATCCCTGAGAGTTTGTGCTAGAGTAGATTTTCACTGGGGTCTGTTAAAGAAATAATGTTATTTTTACATATCATTAAAATCCAATCAAAAGAAATTTCTCATTTAAAGAATGCTGTGAGTGTGGAGGTATATTAAACCCCATTTAGTATGATCACATTATATAGTCAAAATCAGGTGAATGTAACTACAGACAGCTAGTAAATATCATGTCAATCCAGAATAAATTTTGGAGAATCTGAAATACAGAAATACTTGTTGACTTCTCCAATGTCCCAATAACAAAACAAATTATTATTACAATAAATCAAAGTAGAAATATAAAATGTTTAGGAAAATAAGGCGATTTAGAGAGATGAGGTTAAGATGGTAAAGACAGGAGATAAAAGCAACAGACAGAAAGCAACACACAACTTTCTGGACTTCAGCTATGTTTGTGGCTGCTAAGCTCTTAAAGCATCTTAGTATAATTGAGCACCACAGCGACATTTAGGACTATGTTTTGTAGTTCAGACTTTTCCCCTGGGGAAATCAAGGTTAAATAGGGTATAAAACTTGCCTGATGTCTTAGAATCACTTATTAAATGGTTAGAATTCAGATTTAGGCTTGCATCACACACACACACACACACACACACACAGCCCTACATTCATTCATGCATGCTTTATTTTATTTTATTTTATTTTATTTATTTATTTTTTTGACAGGCAAAATTAGAAAGAGAGACAGACAGAGAGAAAGGTCTTCCTTTTTCCATTGGTTCACCCCCCCAAATGGCTGCAATGGCTGGCGCACTATGGCCGGCGCACTGCGCTGATCCGAAGCCAGGGGCCAGGTGCTTCTTCCTGGTTTCCCATGCAGGTGCAGGAGCCCAAGGACCTGGGCCATCCTCCACTGCCTTCCCAGGCCACAGCAGAGAGCTGGACTGGAAGAGGAGCAACCGGGACAGAATCTGGTGCCCCAACCAGGACTAGAACCCGGTGTGCCGGCACTGCAGGTGGAGGATTAGCATAGTGAGCTGCGGCACTGGCCTCATGCGTGTTTTAATATATACCTTCCTAAATTTACCAGAAGAATAAATGTATACTGTCTTTAAATGCACTAATGCAGGACAATCCATCATCCCTCATCACTTTTATTAAATATTTTCTCTTTCTACATATTTTTCATCACTGCTGAAAGAGGTAATGCATCACCCCAAAACAACTGAGTACTTCTCTCTTAGCTTCCACTTATTAATTTTTTTTATTTTTACCTTTTCTAATTTTATTTAAAAATATTTCAAATAGATCAGAGAAGTATAAAGAGGAGTTCAACCAACATGCATAGAATTAACAATTTTGATCACTGTTTATATTTACTTCATATGTAAATTATGTTTATATATAGATATTTACATATACATACTATTTTTCTTTTTTTTCTTTTTTTTATTTTATTTTATTTTTTTTTTTGACAGGCAGAGTGGACAGTGAGAGAGAGACAGACAGAAAGGTCTTCCTTTTTGCCGTTGGTTCACCCTCCAATGGCCGCCGCGGCTGGCGCGCTGCGGCCGGCGCACCGCGCTGATCCGATGGCAGGAGCCAGGAGCCAGGTGCTTTTCCTGGTCTCCCATGGGGTGCAGGGCCCAAGCACCTGGGCCATCCTCCACTGCACTCCCTGGCCACAGCAGAGAGCTGGCCTGGAAGAGGGGCAACCGGGACAGAATCCGGCGCCCCGACCGGGACTAGAACCCAGTGTGCCGGCGCCGCTAGGCGGAGGATTAGCCTAGTGAGCCGCGGCACCAGCCTCATACTATTTTTCTTGATAGCAGAGATGATTATATTAATTCCAGCTTCTTCTAATGTGCATCCTAGGAGAAAACAAATAATAGCTTAAATACTTGGGTCTCTGACACCCACAGGAAAGATGTAAATGAAGTTCCTGGACATTTGAGGAGTGGACCAGCAGTTTGAAGGAAGAAAAATTCTGTGTGTGTGTGTGTGTGTGTGTGTGTCTGTGTCTCCTCCCCACTTCCATCCCTTTGAAATAAAATGAATATAAATTGATAAAATATTTTAAAAGTTTCAATTTAATTTAAACTATAACACCATATACTTTTTATTTTCATAATACCAGGCACCTTCTTGCCTTACAGAATGTGATGTTCTGCCAGCAAGTGTGTTAACACTGTCCTACTGATTCTGTTCATGAAAATAAGTACATTTTGGTACTTTTGCAAGAAAACTACTAGTCCTATGTTAAAGACAAAAGCACAGGAGTATGTGGGCGTATATGGTGGGCTTAGCTCTTCCTGCAACAACCGCAACAAAATTGGGACATTTAACTTTTGACAGCAGAAATTGTTCTAAGTTTCCATTCTGTCGTTATTTGGGGATTGAATAAAATACTGGAATGAATGTTGAAGATAAACATCACTACGTGATAAGGTGAACCCAAGTAATCAACAGCAGACATTTACAAAAAAGCGATCGTAGTAGGAGTCCTGATAGTCTTCAATTGCTAACCAACAGGAAGCAAGAAAAGAGAATTGTTTTCTGAATTCAGATGTTATAAAGGGCCTGATAATATATTAAGAAGGGAAATTTTAAAAGATGATTTCTTAATACTGTGAGAAGTGGGCACAGACTGGCTGATAATGGAATGTGTGATTGTATAGAAGTTTCATAGCAGTGAACTGCTATTAATACCTGACAGAATAACTGGCTGTGCGCTTATAATTGCACATAGTTGCAGCAAAGGATGGCTGCAAAATATCAACAGACAACAAATACTCAGCATGTCGGAGGCCATAGTGTGGTGGGAATATTAATGTCTGAGATAAGTGCAAAAGACTTTGTGTAAGTGGGTAGATGATGTTAGTTTGAGCCCAAAGAAAATGCTAGTTAAAGACCCATGAGACGAAAAAGACCTGAAGCCATTAGTGAATGGGAAAGTGGTAGCTTTGTTCCACAATGCGAGCTAATCACACATCCTCATAGCTGGAGTGGTCCCAAGGGAAATAAAGGCTTTGACAACCCGAAAATAAGCAAAGTGCCTGTGCACAAAGCAAGGTTTAAGGGAATCCAGAGCTGCTTTAAGAAAGCAAACTTTGCCCTTTTTCATTCTTTAACAGCAATGTGTGCATAAGAGTTGCAGACCCAAGGATGTCTTCTTCCATTCTTGATGTTTTTTTTTTCTTATGAAGGCTAATGTTTATTTTTTTGTGTCTGTTACTGTGACTGAAGCAAAAATCATCACAGTATAAGCTTGAGCCTGTGTGAAGTAAAACAAATGCAGATCAATTCTTTTTAAGAAGTTTTACCTGTGTTTTCAAAATGAGAGGCATTTTTATTCCTGCAGTCAGACTATGGATATGAAAATATGAATTAGGAAAAACAGGTTTTTGTTGCTGCTGCAGATCTATTTTGTTTGGCTCATCTCCATTTATATGTTTTGATGTTTTGCTATCATCGTGCATAGTAGTGGTGCTGAGAGTAAGCAAAGAAGAGTAAATGTGAAATGATTGGTGCCTAATTCAAAATGCAATGATATAATAAATTGTGATGAGCATTAAGACAGTGCAAATAGAGGAACCCAGCCCATCTGGGAGGATTCCTTAGCAAGACATCACCTGAATCAGATGTATTTAAGGGGACATTGAAAACAAACACATATAATAAGTTAATGAACTGTTTATATTATAGACACTGAAATTCCATTTAATTTATCATTTAAGCCCCTTAAAATGCTAATTGATAATATTGTATGCACACATATATACCATACTGTGTTTGCCCATTCATCAAAAGATGTTCATTTGAGTTGTTTCTACTTTCTATTATGAAAGCCATTGCTATGAATGTTTGTGTACAAGATTTGCAAAGATGTATGTCTTCATTTCTCTTGGATATATAAGAATGGAATTGCTGGGTTTTGTGTAACTCTATGATTACCTTTGGGAGGTATTGCCAGACTGCTTTCCAAAGCGACTTCAGCATTTTCCGTGACCACCAGCGAGTTCTGCTTTCTTTTTCAGACCCCAGAGGAGCTGGAGGATGTTTCTGACCTTGAAGAGGATCATGAGGTCCGCAGTCACACCAGCATTCAGACCGAAGGGAAAACTGACCGGGTAAGTCACCTCCCTCGAGGGCCGGCTGTGTGCCCTACCCCAGGAGTGTGCCCTCTCCTTGGCCATCTAGGCAGCCTCCTACAGGTGGGACTCCTAGGTCTGTGAGGTACAGTGGGAACAGCCATGGAAGGTAGGGACAATGGCTTATGACGAATTATTTCTTCTATTTTAATAATTCACAATGTAGCCATTTCAGTAGTGAATTACTGCGTCCAGCTTTGGATCTTTACAGGAATCATGGGAATATAAAAATGAAATATTTATATTTCTATTTATTTAAAATAGAAAAAAAGCAAGAGGATGTAAATATACTCTGAAATTCTTAAGAAAAAACCTTTCTGATTCATTACTCTTCTTTCTATATACAATGCCCTCCTCTGCACCCACCCCTCACACACACACATACACATGCACACACACAACTTACACGATTCTAAAGGTTTAATCCATTTCTAAATTACTGTGAAGTTCTTACTTCACTTTGCTCACATGGGATGCATGGGGATGTGTCAAAGTGTGGCAATCTAACCACTGATGGCTTGCAACTATAGACCAGACTGCAGAATCTGGATCTGAATTCATGTGGTATAGTACAGTGGCTCAGACATCCTGGAATGCAGTTACCTCCTTTAATGCTCAGGAAAGTCATTTGGCCTCTCTATAAGCTTTCTCATTTGTTAAATGAGGATATTAGTAATACCCTTGGTGTGAGGATTAACTGAGTTAACAGAGCACTTACATATGCTTTCTCAGTTGTTATAAAATACAGAAAATATGGTGAGACATGTTAAAACAGATAAATGTAGGGAAATTCTGTTTCTGGATATTAAAATGGCTTACAATTAGTATTTATCAGCCAAAAAATCCCCATGTTTTGTTAGAATGTTGTGTGTTTTTGGCAATTATAATACTCTATGTTTACCTTTCATGGATATTTTTATTTTGAAGAACAAATGTTCTCCAGTTAACACCACTGTTACATAGCCTATCAGTATTTGGTGATGTATCAGGCAGTGTCACTTTGTTGAGTTTCCATTTCCTGCTGATTATCTGGGCTATTTGTCAATCCTTTAGAAGCCAGTTCATGTTGAAAACTGTCTGAGATCACACAACATCTGAATTTAATTTCTTTCAAATGTATTTAGAATCATTGATAAGAGACCAAATCTTGCAAATGACCATGGCATTGAAATACATGTTGCTGTGGGAAACATGCTCATATTTTCAGTGAAGTGAATGGTTCACTTAATCTGATGCTGGGTCAATGCTGGCAAAGGTGGGTATCAGGGCTTACCAAAAAAACTGAGAGGAGAAAATTTTAATTAAAGCACAAGTTTCAGAATTCTGGAATTAAGATAAGCATGGATTTCTTTTTTTTGGGGGGGGGGTGTAACATCTTTATTGAGATTTGGTACTAAACATAGTAGGATACTATATTTTTATTTGATTTATGACATGGTTTGCCCATGATATTTTTTTGCTTTTTTTTATTTAGTAAATATAAATTTCTAAAATATAGTTTATGGATTACATTGGCTCCCCCCCACCCCCATAATTTCCCTCCCACTTGCACCCCTCCCATCTCCCGCTCCCTCTCCCATTCCATTCACATCAAGATTCATTTTCAATTATCTTTATATACAGAAGATCAATTCAGTATATATTAAGTAAAGATTTCATCAGTTTGCACCCACACAGAAACACAGAGTGTAAAATACTGTTTCAGTACTAGTTGTAGCATTACTTCACATTGGACAACACATTAAGGACAGATCCCACATGAGAAGTAATTACACAGTGACTCCTGTTGTTGACTTAACAATTTGGCACTCTTGTTTATGGCCTCAGTAATCTCCCTAGGCTCTAGTCATGAGTTGCTAAGGCTATGGAAGCCTTTTGGGTTTACCGACTTTGATCTTATTCAGACAGGGTCATAGTCAAAATGGAAGTTCTCTCCTCCCTTCAGAGAAAGGTACCTCCTTCTTTGATGGCCACGTTCTTTCCACTGGGATCTCACTCACAGAGATCTTTCATTTAGGTTTTCTTTTTTTATTTTTTTTCCCAGAGTGTCTTGGCTTTCCATGCATAAAATACTCTCATGGGCTCTTCAGCCAGATCTGAATGCATTAAGGGATAATTCTGAGGCCAGAGTGCTATTTAGTACATCTGCCATTCTATGAGTCTGCTGTGTATCCCGCTTCCCATGTTGGATCATTCTCTCCCTTTTTTATTCTATCAGTTAGCATTAGCAGACACTAGTCTCATTTGTGTGATCCCTTTGACTCTTAGACCTATCAGTGTGATCAATTGTGAACTGAAGTTGATCACTGGGACTAGTGAGATGGCATTGGTACATGCCACCTTGATGGGATTGTTTTGGAATCCCCTGGCACGATTCGAACTCCACCATTTGGGGCAAGTCTGATTGAGCATGTCCCAAATTGTACATCTCTTCCCTCTCTCATTCCCACTCTTATAGTTAACAGGGATCCCTTTTCAGTTAAAATTTAAATACCTAAGAATAATTGTGTTAGTTACATAGTTCAACCAATAGTACTAGAACAAAGCCGGAGGCATCGCAATACCAGATTTCAGGACATACTACAGGGCAGTTGTAATCAAAACAGCATGGTACTGGTACAGAAACAGATGGATAGACCAATGGAAGAATATAGAAACACCAAAAATTAATCCAAACATCTATAGCCAACTTATGTTTGATCCAGGATCCAAAACCAATCCCTAGAGTAAGGACAGTCTATTCAATAAATGGTGCTGGGAAAATTGGATTTTCACGTGCAGAATCATGAAGCAAGACCCCTACCTTTCACCTTACACAAAAATTCACTCAACATGGATTAAAGACTTAAATCTATGACCTGACACCATCAAATTACTAGAGAGCATTGGAGAAACCCTGCAAGATATAGGTACTGGCAAAGACTTCTTGGAAAAGACCCCAGAAGCACAGGAAGTCAAAGCCAAAATTAACATTTGGGATTGCATCAAATTGAGAAGTTTCTGTACTTCAAAAGAAACAGTCAGGAAAGTGAAGAGGCAACCAACAGAATGGGAAAAAATATTTGCAAACTATGCAACAGATAAAGGGTTGATAACCAGAATCTACAAAGAAATCAAGAAACTCCACAACATCAAAACAAACAACCCACTTAAGAGATGGGCCAAGGACCTCAATAGACATTTTTCAAAAGAGGAAATCCAAAGGGCCAACAGACCCTTTGTTCAAGATCACTAGCAATCAGGCAAATGCAAATCAAAACCACAATGAGGTTTCACCTCACCCCGGTTAGAATGGCTCTCATTCAGAAATCTACCAACAACAGATGCTGGAGAGGATGTGGGGAAAAAGGGACACTAACCCACTGTTGGTGGGAATGCAAACTGGTCAAGCCACTATGGAAGTCAGTCTGGAGATTCCTCAGAAACCTGAACATAACCCTACCATACATCCCAGCTATACCACTCCTTGGAATTTACCCAAAGGAAATGAAATTGGCAAACAAAAAAGCAGTCTGCACATTAATGTTTATTGCAGCTGAATTCACAATAGCTAAGACCTGGAACCAACCCAAATGCCCATCAACAGTAGACTGGATAAAGAAATTATGGGACATGTACTCTATAGAATACTATACAGCAGTCAAAAACAGTGAAACCCGGTCATTTGCAACAAAATGGAGGAATCTGGAAAACATCATGCTGACTGAATTAAGCCAGACCCAAAGGGACAAATATCATATGTTCTCCCTGAACGGCAACAACTAACTGAGCACCAAAGGGGAAACCTGTTGATGTGAAAAGGACACTATGAGAAACACTGACTTGATCAGCTCTTATCCTGACTGTTGATGTACAATGTAATACTTTATCCATTTTAGTATTTTTTTTTGTTCTAGAACTATTTTTTGTTCTAGCATTGATTTCTTCAACAGACAAATGAGAATACCTTCTCGCAGCATCATTGGTAGACTTAGAGAATGGGTGAGCACTGATGCACAGTAGATTAAACTGCTGTTGGACACCTGCATCCCATATCAGGGTGCCTGGGATCAGGTCCCTTCTCAGCTTTGAATTCAGCTTTCTGATTGCACATCTGGAAAGTATAAGATGATGGCCCAAGTTCTTGGGTCTCCCCTACCCATGTGGGAGACCCAGATGAAGTCTTGAGCTCCTGGCTTCCAGCTGTTACAGGCATTTGGAGAGTGAACCAATAGATGGGAGATATCTGTCTGTCTGTCTGTCTCTCCCTCTCTCCCCCTCTCCTCCTTACTCCTTTCTCCCTCCTCCCATATACCTTTCAAAGAAATAAAAATGAATAAATTAATATTTTAAAATGATGCTATTAAAAGATAAACTTCTTTTACTATTTTTATTTGTGTTTTTGTTCTTGACCAGGATTATATGTCAGCTAAATGAGTCCCTACCCATTACTTCTTTATAAATTATAAAATTGATGTCTCTCTGCTTCTGAATCTTTCATAGATGCCACTGCTTTTCACTTTGTGGCACTCTGAATCTGCTCTGCTCCTTGGATTTTGATCCCACTGTTCAAAGCTAAGCAAAAGTCCAGTTGACCTGAGATGCCCTTGAATGATAACATAACCACTGTTTTGTGCTGGGAAGGTGAATACCAAATCTATTAAGGATAACACTGTATTCAGCTTGGTCGGTCTCTGCTTTTTGCAAATCTCCTTTCCATAAATTACAAATAACTCAGGTTTGATTCACTTCTGGTAGATTCCCTGAAGCTACTGTGTGACATTTCTTTTCAAGCTGCTCTTTAAATCACACCCAACCTTCTGTAAGGGTTAACGTCTCACAGAACAATTTTTGTTTCAGTCCTGATATGGACAATCCTGTGGTGCATTTTCCACAGGTCTTCAGCATGTCCCCAGTGAGATCCAGCCCCGTTGGCAGTTGCAGTGACCACCTTGATAATACGTCTTTGGACTGGCTTTATTTGTCTTCATTCATTCTTC